TATATATATATATATATATATATATATATATATATATATATATATATGTATAGGAAAAATAATTACAAAAATAACTTTAATTTGCACTGTCTTTTTACAAAATGTAAAATTGCGGTTAGATTATACACTATTTTATATATATATAATCATATTTTAAAAAGAGAGAGAAGGTAGAGCAAAACGCTTTCAAAACGATAGCATTTTATACTATTGTTCCTACGATATATCCCAGTAAGCAAAAAACATACATATGTCAATGTGTAACTTTACTAAATAAAAAATGACCACACGTTGTGATATAAAGTATTACGTCCATTTCTACATAAAACAATAAATATAAAAAACAAGTGCAGCATGTATTAAATTATAAATATTTGTAATTAATTCACGCATATACTCGTGCGTCATTTTGCGCGTGCACTTTGGGATCATTCTTACTTGACTTTCATATCATGATTATTATATGTCCTTACTATTCAACTGTTAGAATGGTAGAATGTTATCTGTTAGAATGTTCTCTAAGTATATTTATCATCGTCATCCTCTATTACAGGAATAACAGAAACCAAACAGATTTTACGAGACAACTAAATTACAATAAAATAGAGAACTTTTCATGGTAATTAACAATATATATATATGATATATATCTATTATTAACAGGCAACATTTTATCAACCATTAATACGTAATAGAAAAATCGGGTAAAATTTTCTTCGATTTTTCGTGAATTTCTTCTAGTTTCTCGGCACTGTAGTTCGCTGCTTCATCCATGGCCTTGCGTATTATATTATTAATAATGTCTCTTATAGTTGAAAATTTGAATGCGTAAAAGAACATAAATCTGAAATTATCGAGATTACAGAAATGTAGAATATATAAAATATTCGAATTTTATAATACGTACATAGATTAAAACTATATTACTTACTTGTAGATCTTATAAACGATCCACTCTGTGTAATTAAGTGACGCGTATAAATTAGGCATATTTAGATTTAATGTGTCCGTGGCAATTAATGTCATCGCTTTATAAGGCATATATATTATAGGCCAATAGTTTAATTGCTCAACAAGACACCTCGTTGTGTGCTCCCATTCTGGTGTCAACTCCTTAAAATTTGGTATTACCCAATATTGATAAAAATCATTCGCGCGTTGTTTTATTTCCTGGAGGCTGCCACGGCAAAAATTGTACCTGAATATATGATATACGTTGTAATATCTTCAAAGTTTTGATATTATATATATACATAATGTGTATATGTTATGTAACATACTTTGTGTACCTAATATATCGATATAGAATTGCATAGTATTTGAAATGTTTGTATTAAGCTGGAGAAAGTAATCTAGGTCACGGATAAATGGCAATACAGCATACTGTAATAATTTATGCTAATAACTTTTGTTTTGTTTCTTTGAGGTTGCCTATCCTACATTAAAATTACTGCAAGGCAAGTCTTCCTGTCTATCATATATGTTTATTTCAATTTGATTCGACAAAATGACCAGATAAAGTGTCATAATTACTATGAGTTCTTGCCGCCACGTCAAACAGTCACTGCTAAAATCTATAGTCAACAACTTAGGTGCCTGGACGCAACATTGCTCAAAAAATGGCCGTTATATGCCTCAAACCGATTTCAGATTTGCCATAAATTAAACCATCTTTCTGCGCGATAACGTCGAGCTTCATATCGCTGCAATCACCTTGAACATTTTTATAGATTTGAGCTGAAAAATCCTTCCGCCCACTCACCTATTGCACCCACGTCAGATCATTATTTATTTCGATCGATGCAGCACGGCTTGAGAGAACAACGCTTTCGAAATGCGGCCGAAGTCAAGAAATAAATAAAAAAATTCTTCGCGATCAAGAAGCCGGCCTATTATCGGCACGGAATTCAACTTCTGTTTGAAAGATGACAGAAAATAATAGATTTAAACGGCAATTAGTTTAATTAAAAAAAAAAAAAAAACGTAACTATTTTTTCATAATAGATATTTTTCACAAAAAAATCCGGATTACTTTCTCCCCAACCTAATATATGGTTATAACACAGAGTATATATTATAATTGCGCTACATACTCATCTTCTATTCCAAGAAAATATCCATAACATTTCCACATATGACAGAAAGCCTCCAAGTCTTCGTCGGTCGCGTCGTGTATTCCAACACTTTGTGGATAGAGCAAAGGTATAACTACAAAACAGCTCTGAGTAACTGACAAATCCGCGTTATTTATACCCTTCGGTTTGTATGGTGATTTGTTGCTGATCGTATAAGGACGCTGTCCAAAATTTTCAGGTGAAGAAACCGCAGCAAAATCCTTTAGAAGCAATTCACGATCTAGACACCATGGATTTGCGAATGTGCACGCAGCGGTAATTTGCTCATGATCCATCTGACACACTTTCTTCCTCATCGCCAAATGCTTACTACGTGTTACTTGCATATCCTTGTAAGCTTTAGTTCCTTTAATCCAAGGATCTCCACCATACCAGCTGAATATTCGTTTTATAGTCGATACGTACCTTTGAAATGTATAAAATATATTTATGTGCATATATTTATCTACTTTTTTTTATATGTTTATATATAAATACAATATTTTAAAAAGATACCTTTGGAATGCTAAATACGGCGTATGGCTATGTGCTCCCAAAATAATTGGCTTCAGTTCTTCTTGAAACGTATAAATATACATCAGGCCCATTACTTTGGATATGGTGATCGCGGTGTAATTTTTCTGGACAAATTTTTGTCCCCTGCGATATTTATCCATATCCATCCATTCAGGTAATTTCTCCAAGGTTCGGTCATTATTTAATTGGCAAAAGGCAGCTGGAATAATGCTCTGTAAAGACTGCGGCATGTTTGGAAATAATTCTGTTATGTTTTTTATTATCCAGTCGCATTGCTTGTTTACGGTCCAGGTATCAAAATTATTTGGAATTTTATTTTGAGAATTTACTCCGAATATGTCTTTAAATATCATTATAAGTCTATTTTCATCTAAGTTTTTCGAGCTAGATTTTATATTGTGCTGGATATTATTGGTATGCATCATATTTTATGGATAACCCAACTGTAACACAAGTACAAAACACAAATTTATTGTAAACTTGTAAGTTTGATTTTTATATTGTTTTTTAAGGTATAGTATGTTATTGGACAGTATATGTACTTTTTAGTAATTTGAGTAATTATTTCACCATGATTTATTTTGTCTTTTATTCTATCTGATGCTATATACGGAAATTTTGCTTTTTATATATATAACGCTAGCTGAAATTATATATAATCATACGATTATTTACATGAATTTTTTATGTATCCAGGAGTGCATATATGATGTATTGTTCATATCTAGTTATA